CGACATAAGTTACAGCGCACCGTAATTTTGTAGTATTTTACAGGGTATTTTCATCCTACCATATTAGGAAATGCGAATTTCAAATATGGAATGATTACCTGCGTAAGTGTCCTCCAATAATAAAAACAAACATGGCTGCCTTTAGAGTTTGACCGGACTCCATACAAAGAAGTTTGCTGATTCTGTTCTAAACATTTTCGGCATGTCGGTCAATACTCTGGCTGTACTGTCTTTGTGCATACTTTGAGATACTCTCGTAATAACCTCATATTATTACACAACAGAGTAACATAAATCACAGTTTCAGACACCTATACTTACTAACTGTACATCAAACGTCAGACACGGAGTATGTTTCTTTGTTAGTTTGACCTTCACTGACTTGGCAGATTGCGCAGATTTCAATGCTCTCATTATATTCTCCCCAATGATATCCAAATAAATCTCATTGAATTCAGCAGATACACCATCCATGTTGTACTCATCGAAAAAATTTGCCTGAAAATGAAAGTTATGCATTTCATGAAATTGCACTAGTAAGAATGTCAATGTGTTTCACTTTCTGCTTTGGTTATTACTGAACAGTAATATCCCAGGAAATATGTAATAATCACAGAAACACAGTTGCAACATGAGTTAGAGTGTTTTAAATTATGAAGGAAAAAGCATGATACACATAACTCAACGGTCATAACGATCATAATTACGGATTTCAGTCCATCAATTTACTAAATATGTTGAATTATTTAGTAGATAATACAACTTTAAGGTGCGGTGGTGCGGTAAAGGTAATTTTTGTTGTCATGAGAACCATGATAGGATGTAATTGCAATGAATGTTAACTCAATCTGAGGATGTGGAGGGTGTATTTTAATATATACGACCACATGCCAACACCAACTATTTAAACAAATGGTTGTCTCCTCTGAGGGGATTTGTCAACCAACCACAGCATACAAGTTCTGATTGGAGACTGTTATTGCAATTGTCAGTTGTGCATGTAGTATTTGATGTATTTAGAGATGTGTGCACAAGTAACCATTCATTGAGGGGAGGGGGGTGGTTGTCAGTACCGATATACATAAAGCATCCAGTGCCTTAGCCTGACGGGGTCGCGTGAATTGCACCCTCCGCCAAACCCAACACACGCCTGACAGAACGATGTAGTTTTTCACTTCCACAAACAATTTTTTTGTCGGTACCAATCAAATTGCAGGAACGTCAGATAGTGACAGCCATCAAAGAGTAACCATTCACGACAGAGTTTATTTGTTTGTTGACATAATGCGTGATACGTTTCTGGCAAATTTCCGTCCAATGTTTATCATCTTATTGAAAACAGTCTGAATTTTGCCGACAATGCAAACATGGCTTTGAACTGACAATGTTACCATGACCACCAAAATGAATATTCATGGACCTCATTGCAAGAAGGCGTAAACTTTGTGAATTTGCAGTATTGATCTTGCCGACGAGACATACACTATTCTGTCTGGCTGATGCCGGTCGGCTGGCGAGGGCCTACTCACGCCTACATGTAAAGCTACAGGAACCTCTACTAAGATCAGAAGTTACTCAAGACTCCAATCTTACCTGTATCATTTCACACCAGATACTAATACCACCGCTGGTAACGCTGTCATTTAATATGAAGTATAATTTATCAGGTGTTATCCTCAAAACATAATTCTTGGCAAGTTTAGATATTGTACTAACCACACCTATTAATAGAAAATACATACATGTACAATGTTATATAGAGTCTCACTGGCTATCTCATTATTTTATCTTTGGTCACGGCAAATTTCCAGCAAGTTATTCTGTATGGATGTAGTTGATTGTAGTAGAATGTCACAGAGTAATTGTGTTTTTCATTTGATAGTGTTCTGAAACATTCAACTTTTTGTATTACCTGGCATATGTCACTTAAAGCGAGAGGGTCGCACGCACAGGAATTGAGTCCCAAGCAACAATAACAACACACGGTAAAAACACAAAGGCTCATGGGTAAACGCTTGTTTGTAAACAATGACAGGCTATGCCCATCTGACGCATACACAGGTGACGACTCCCCCGCTTAAACCTTCACATCATTGGATAAATAGGAATCTAGTGGGTTGCTGACCAGTTATTGGCAAGATTACAGGAACAGTTACAACCCCCAAAATATCATTTAATGCAACATTTGAATGTCTTTCCGAGCAAAAAAACGCCTAGGCCAAAACAAAAATGAAATTCATCAAAATAGTTTTCCAAACAACAGGGCAAGTACCAGTAACTTTAAAAACTTGCCTGCAATGCTGAAAATTTACCAACCCTGCTTATGTTTTCAATATTTTATTGACTTTCAATCGTTCCACTATATTTAATTTAACCAGACATTCAGTGTCACTGCTGAGACATTCATTCAGTAAGAATAAGCACAGACCCTCAAATTTAATATAGTTGGAACATAAACATGTCAGAAATATGGATCCAGAAGACGAAGCTTGATTGAGATGATTTTTTAACATTAAAATGATTGACATTTTGTATCTGATCCGCAAACGAGTACTTCTCCATACTGAGAAATATTGCTGTGCAGCAGCATTAATTAAAATAAAATGGCCACCAGTCGGCCATTTTGAATACATCTATATATCTATATCATGATGTAAAATGAATATATAAAATTTGAACATAATCAGTCAAAACATATCAGAGATATGGCTATAGAAGTGCATTCATTTAAACAAAATGGCCACCAGTCAGCCATTTTGAATACATCTATATATCTATAACATGATGTAAAAAGAATATATAAAATTTGAACATAATCAGCCAAAGCATATCAGAGATATGGCTCTAGAAGTACATTCATTTAAACAAAATGGACACCAGTCAGCCATTTTGAATACATCTATATATCTATAACATGATGTAAAATGAATATATAAAATTTGAACATAATCAGCCAAAGCATATCAGAGATATGGCTCTAGAAGTGCATTCATTTAATGCATATGTATATTATTATGTGTGATGCATTCATTTTATTTTCACCAGCCCGACTGAATAGTTATCCGTGCTGGACATAATTTTAATAAACACTGCATGATTTGTTTGGTAATATGATTGATTCAGGTTAGGACTTATTCATTAGAGGGAACAAATCCAACGGGTCTTTGAGGCTTACTTTCAATAGATCGCAGCGAAGCGGCCATTCCGAGCAAGAAAAGATCGAAAAAAATGTAAAAAAAAAATGATTTTCACACAGTCTTCCATGATTTTTTTGTGATACCGTATTACCCCGGGCACGCGCCCCTCCCTGCGCAAGCGCCCCTGTTTTCACAAGTTACATGTTGGGGACATCCTCGGTTAAACGCCCAGGGTGATTTTTAGCCAAGAACGGGGTCAACAATAAAGTTTTATTTGTCAAAAACGAACGCGTTTGATTTATTTAAATAGTGTGTTTGTTACAGTAGTTCTCTTTTTGGAGCGTGTGGTGGCCCTGAAAAGGGCCGTTTTGTTTGTGTTTTTACGTAAAAACTCATTGGAACTTAACGTAAGATGAACCACGCAGCATGTGGCGCACACGTTCTGCTTTCTCTTCATTCAGGATGAATCTAATATTGCAATATAATCCATACCTTGGTGACACAGTCAGCTGGCATCGGTGTCGCTGGG